CTGAGGGTTTTAGGTTTTAGAGGTTTAGGATTCCGGGCTTGGGGTTTTAGGAACTTTTGCGAAGTTGCCATAATATATGAGTACATGATGAATAGTATGGTGCACCTGAAACCCAGTGCTTTGTTGCTTTGTAGCGAAGGACTAGCTGAACCTCCAGAACAAATCCAATGAGGCCTGTTGGGCTTTGAGGAGGATGGTTGCAGATTTCAGTAGTCACCATTCCAGAGTTTGCCGTAAGCTCAACGGTGCAGCCTACCCCAACCAGACCTTAAATGTCTCGTCCCAGAGTACCGGACTTCGAGAATTTGGGTAGGCTTAGGCTTCACATTTTGACTTCCCAAAGACTGCAAGGTGGGCTTATCACCTTCGAATGGATCCTCCAGGAAAATATGGGCAGATCTAGGGATATCTAGGCTTATATCATGTTTAGGATCTCCTACTGACCTCCCCCCACCCCTTGCTTGCTGTTACCCCCCGCCTATACGACCCTCGCCCAGGTTCCCAGAATGAAGGTTTAGGGTTTAGGGTNNTTTAGGGTGTAGGGTTTAAGGTTTTCGGGTTTAGAGTTTGAGGTTACTTAGGGATGAGAAAGGCTAGGTAGGGTGGAACCTAGGGGTCTAGCGGGCGGGGGAGTAGTAGGGTCACACGTGACTATATGCCCTAAACCCTAAACCCCAGATGAGCTATAGTCTAAACTCCGAGTCTCCCCCTTAATAACCCCTATAATACTTCCATATATGATTCCTATTATGCTCCTTTGTATAATGACCTATATAACCCCCTTTATGGAACTTAGACCTTAAACCCTGAACCTTAAAGCCTAAACCTTAAACCTTAAACTCTGTATACGTATATATATATATATACATATACATATCTACGTGCATATATATATATATGTGCATATGTGTGTATATGTATGTATATATATATATGCATGCCTCATGTAGCGTTTAGGCTAGGGCCTGGGTGTGAATTGGAGGAGAACCTGCCCATGAAGACTCCTGGAGTCCCCTACGTGTTTTAAGGTTTAGGGTTTTAGGGTTTTAGAGAGTAGGGTTTAGATTTAGGGTTTGGGTTTAAGGTCTAGGGTTTATGTTTTAGGGTTTAGGCTTTAGGTTTAGGGTTGGGGTTTAAGGTTTAGGTTTTAGGGTTTAGGGAAGAGTTACTAAATTCAAAACCTTAAACCCTAAACCACTTGCTACACCCTGAACCGTACACTCTCAATTTTGCATCTACCTTTGGTACTGTTGCCCCCTGCCCAGTAACAGTCTATATTCAGGGCTATGGATTTTCATAGTTTAATCATTACCCATTTTTTACTGAGTGCGGGCGATAATACCCAACCCAAAACCCAAAACCCCTAAACCCGTATACTCCAAGAGTCTCTTCGTGCCTTCAGCTCGAACAAACTTAAACCTGGGGTTTAGGGTTTAGAGTTTCAGGGTTTAAGGCTTTAGGGTTCGGGATTTTGGGGTTGAGAGTTTAGGGTTTCAGGGTCTAGGGTTTTAGGGCTTGAGGTTGGGGAGTTGCTCACGGAACGCCAGCCAAGTTACTGTGAATGGGAACCTTATTTTTTTATACTGTACCCACGTTATGACAACTTAAGTCAAATGCCTTGCACCAATCCAGGAAAAAACACCTAACCCTCGAACCCAACCCTGAATCCTAAAGCTTAGATCCTAAAATCTAACCTCCTCCGCACTGCAACCTAAACCCTCCTAGTTCTTAATCTCTAGGCCCTCCTGACTCCTAAACTCTAGACTCTGAACCCTAAATCATCCTAAATCCTACACCCTGAACGCTACATGCCGAACCCTACATCCAAGTAGATCCTAAGCCCCGAAACCACCCTGAAGAACCCCTAACCCCCGGTACCACCCCTAAACCCTAAAACCCTAAAATACCTAAACCATAAACCCCTAAAACCCTCAAACCCTAAAACCCTAAACCCTAAATCCTTAAACGCTAAATCCTTAAACCCTAAAACTCTAAGCCCCACCCCGAAGAAGGGATCAGCCCTCAGTCGGAGGGCCGGGTTGGCGGTGAACCAAGAGCACGCCAGGCGCTGGGAGCACTCCTGTAGCCCCAAAGGTTGAGAAATTAGGCATATGGTTCGGGGTTTTAGGGTTTTAGAGTTTAGGGGATAGGGTTTTAGAAATCAGGGTTTAGGGTTTAAAGTTTTAGGGTTTAGGGTTTAGGGTAGGGGTTTAAGGTTTGGGGTTTAGGGTTTTAGGGTTTTAGGGTTTGGGGTTTGGGTCCCTAAGCCCTAAAGCGTAAATTCAAGGGTTGGGAAACTAGTCTCTGCCTTATGTACGGGTATATTGGGAGATATGGTTGAGTTGAGGGGCAAGGATGCAAGGGCTTAGGGTTTAGCGTTTTGGGTTTAAGGTGCGTGTGTGTGCCTTGGCTACTGCAAGGGTTTGGGGCCTAGAGTGTTTCATTTCGGCTTTGGGAATGGGTTTTCTCGTTTTATTGTCAATACAAAATAATTAGGTCAGGATTTCCTCTCTGTCTTTTCCACGATTGATGCTCGTATGGGTAGAGTTTGTTTTTCTACTGCCGCCACTAGCTCTCATTGCTGTACCTATTCTACTGAAATTCTGCTGCAGCACCTGAACCAGCGCAGCACCAGCATCGCACCAGCAAAACCAGAACTACTACCTCTCGTGCATCATTTTCCTACGTCAACTCCAACATGTTTTCAAGCCTCATATCAAAGGATGCCACAAAGAAGACCGCTCTTTTTGACAGCGCCCTCAACCCTGAAACCTCAACCTATACACGGATCGTTCCTATCACCTATGGCCCATGTTAAGTCCTCTCGTGCAACATTTTCCTACGTCAACTCCAACATGTTTTCAAGCCTCATATCAAAGGATGCCACAAAGAAGACCGCTCTTTTTGACAGCCACCTCAACCCTGAAACCTCAACCTATACACGGATCGTTCCTATGACCTATGGCCCATGTTAAGTCCACGTAAGCACCTCGCCGCCCCTGCACTTCTTATTGATGCGGAAAGTTCGATCAATCTTTCACCTACCCTGCAGACCTAAGAAAAGGAAAATGCAGCATAGGTATCCTATCTCCGTGTTCCCACTTGTTGGAATTTAGTGTAAATAGGTAAAAGATTCACCCCCCAAACCCTCTGAAATAATGTGTTGTTACTCTCACAATACTTGGTCCAGGCGAGGGTCACTTGATTTAAACGCAGTCCAGTGTAGACTCCAAAATACGATAATCCTTGTTATAGGGACCCCTGCTGTTGTGAACCCTGCATAGCGTTAACCCTAACCCCTAATACCTAACCCCTAGCTGGACTTTGGAACCCCCCCTTTTCAAGCCCGTCCTTGTAGGTGTTTGTGTCAGCTCCGTCCGAATCGCCGGTCCTGTGATGTGTCAGCATCTAAGGTTGATAGTACGGCCCCTTGACCCTGGGATCCTTCTGTACCTACTAGATACCCTATATGAGCTATAGTCTAAACTCCTTCAAGGGGGTTATATGGGGGATTATATAGGGAACTACTATAGGGGGTATTAAGGGGGATACTAGGAGTTTAGACTATAGCTCATATGTACCCTTAAAGGTTCCTAGAATCCCTGGCCTTAGGACCCATACTGGGGCCAATACTTCTAACCTTAGACAAGAGAAGCTTAAAACTACAGGTAAAGGGTTTCGGGGTTTAGGGCTTAGGGGTTGCTGTCGAACAGCTTAAGGTGAGATACCATAATATGAAGACGTAATCCTAAACCCTAAACCCAAATGATATATAGTCTAAACTCCTAGTATCCCCCTTAATAACCCCTATAGTAGTCCCCTATATGACCCCCTATATATCCCCCTTTCAGGACTTTGGACTATAGCTCAAGTGATATATGCCCACAATGGCCTTGGCCCGTCTTACTGTTCTCACTATGAAGAAAGTTATGTTGGGAGCCGTATTGTAATAGGAATCCCACTATAGTAATAGGGACCCGGGATGAATTTAAGGAAGCCCCTATCTTAAGTAACAAGTCCACCCTGCGCTGGTCACGTAGCTTAGGTTCTTTAACAGCGACCAGATTAAGGTTTGGGGAAGTCTAGGGTTGAGGGTTGAGGGTTTAGGCCTTTGATATGCAGGAAAACTGTAAGGAACATTCAAGTAAAGAAGCAGAATATCAGGAAGATGTCAGCTACAGCCAATATTTGAAGCATATCTTAATGGACATGGGTTCCTCATCAGGGACTATACCAAACTACAGTACAAGAGGCACCCCAATGTCCCCAACCTGACCCTAAACCCGGTAAGCCTAAGCCCCTGAACCCTTGACCCTTCTGATGGCAACCCTCGAACATGAGTTTGGCTCATGGAACCTAAACCCTAAACCCTAAACCCCAAACCCTGAAACGTAAACCCTAAATCCTACAGCTGTTTTCAGCCCACCTTCTTCTCCCTACAGCTTCCAGTCCCTGGACCCTAAAACCCAGAACCGATCAACCTTAGCCTCAAACACGACGGGGTTCAGGGTTTAGGGTTTAGGGCCTCAGTTCTGTTCAACCCGCCTTGAACCCAAGTTAACCTGAGAAAACATTTCGGGCGTGTTGGGGGGTACCTACTTCATGATGTGGAAGAGCCTGCGCAATGCTGAGTACCCCTAGTCTTGGAATTTATGGGAGTTGGCTATCAAAAGGTCATGCATCATCTTGAGTATCCGCCGTAGCTTTAGGGTTTAGGGTTCGTCAGCCTTCACCTACCTTCTAAGAAGACCAGCTCAAAACTCTAATCCCTTCAGCTAAACCTCCAAACCCTGGTCCTACAACCCTAAAGCCAAAACCCTCAGCCCTAACCCACAAAGTCGCATGCCTCTCACTGGTTTAGGGTTTAGGGTTAGGGGGCAGGGTTGAGGATTTAGGGCCTTAAGTCATGGTATGGATCCTAGTATCACTTAATTTCAGTACATATCCGTTTTCGTGGGCGCCCTGGCGAACCGCTAAACCTTGTGTCAAAATCTATGAAGCCAACCCCCCTCATGCGTCAAGTGTCAAGCCAAACTTGGGCACCACGAACTTCAGCAACCTTGCGATTTAGGGTTAAGTGGTTTAGAGAATTGCAGTGGGTTAAGGCCTTAGGGTTCAGGTTTTGGGGTTTTGGGCTTAGTGGGATAGAGTTTGCGGCTTAGGATTTTAGAGGATCAGGGTATAGGGCTTAGGATCTAGGGTTCCCCCAGTTACCTGGTGGGTACGCTTAGACAAGGCTTATATAAGCCTTGCATGGGGAGTCTGGCATGTATATACGGGGGCGGTGGAAGGCCTGTATGGGCAAACTACCCATGTGAAAGCACCTTCGATGATAGATTCTCACAAGTCCTAGGGATCAGCACTCAGGGTTTAGGGATCAGGACTTAGGGTGTAGGGGCTTAAGTACTAGGCTTTGGTGTTTTTCGTGACGGGCATTAATGCTGGGCATTTAGGCTCTAGGAAGGTTCAGAGTTGCGGCTTTGGTTGAAAATCGGTCCTAAACCGTAGATCCTAAATCCCAAATCCTGAACCCTAAACCCTCAAGCGTTTGCGGTCCTCATGTCCATTGCAGTCCTACAGAACCAGGCAATGAATCTGCATGAGCCATGGTCTAAACTCCTTAAACAAGGTTATATAGGTTCAAGGCTTCAAGGTCTAAACTGCTTAAAGAGGGTTACATAGGGGGTTTTACTATACAGGTAATTACCGGGGGGTGCGAAGGCCATAGCTCACATGAGCTATAATCTAAACTCCTAGTATCCCCCTTAATAGCCCCTTATAGTAGTTCCCTATATAGTTACCTGTATAACCCCCTTTAAGGAGTTTAGACTATAGCTCACATGAGCACAGGTGCCTCAAACTGAAATGCTCCAGCTATGACTCATCCAAGAGCAAGCGATTACTGGCTCAGGAGTGAGTGAGTTTCCCTAAACCCCAAGAATCCTAAACCACCCTATGCCCAAGTAAGATGCTAGTGCATTACGCTTAGGGTTCAAGCTTAAGGTTTGGGTTTGGGTCTTCGGCCTCGGGTTTCGGGACTTGTGCTCAATGATGTTTAAGCTATCTGCAGTCTGTGAGTACTATCCCATTGGCCCTGCTTTTTTTGCGGTACTCATGGTGGGTGACGCTTAAGGTTTAAGGTGCGGGGTTTGTTGAGGTTTAGAGTGCCGAGATCCATGACGATCATCCTGGCGTTTCTCCGATACTGGCTCGTTTTAAAACCCTCGGTGTCTATCTTGTTGGTTGAAGCTAGGAAAACATGGGAATCTCATCAAACCGCAAGTACACGTTTCTGTGGCAATCCTCGTCATGAGTCCTGTGGAGATTACGGTTTAGAGTCTAGGCTTTCGGGTTTAGCGCGACACGTAACCAGCTTTTCTGCCTCTTTGCATGAACTTAGAAAACTGACAACCTCTGCCCCTACATGCTGAAGTCCTGAAACGTCTTGAGCCCAACCCCACACTTGAACCCCCCCCCTTCTGACGGAGATGTTACACGGGGCATCTCCTCTAGTACTAAGAAACCCTCCACCAGTGATCCAACACAGTAGGATCCATCATAACAGGACCCTACAACTCGCGAAGAGCTTATGATACTTGGAAGGTCAGGGGGACTTAGTAGGTAGGTTCGTAACCAGTATAACTCATACAGTTACCCTGGTTATCCCTATCATTAAACTACTTGCTAAGTCCCCCTGCCCCTCTAAGTATGTGCTTCTGAACGGCCAGGCTCACAGTCCAAAGACCTCAGCCCGAAAAGCCCAAACCCTAAAAACCTAAACCCCCAAAACCTGAATCCCCTCAAAAACCTAACACCCTATAGGGGGTTGTAAAGGGGTTACATAGGGATAATTGAAAACAAGAATGCAAACTAGTATAGCATAATACTGAAAACCTAAATCCTGAAAACCCAGCACCCTAAACCCTGAACCCTAAAAACCTAAGCCCTAAACCCCTAAACCCTAAACCCTTGAACCCTACTAGCTCTTGATGATGCCAGGATGCAGGGTGTGGAGGAAGATGTGGGCGAAGAAGGCTAAGGAGCAGGCAGTCACCATCTCGTCCCCTGCGGCCCTAAACCCTTAAGATTAGGGGTATATTGGGGTTATATTGGGGTTTAGGGCTCAGGGTCCAGGGCTTGAGGTTCAGTTTTTTTGGGTTTAGGGTTCAGGGTTTCTAGGGTCTTTGGGTATATTGGGGTTATATTGGGATAATGGAAAAGAAAACGGAAACTATTACAATGGGGTTATTTAAGGTTTAGCCCCCACCCAGTAGCAGTCTATACTAGGGCTCATATTAACGGCTGTATATTATAAAGGGGTATATTGGGGTTATATTGGGATAATGGAAAAGAAAATGGAAACCATTATAATGATCTCGTCCCCTGAGGCTTTGCCACAAGGGTTTGAGGGTTTAAGGTTTAGGGGTTGTGGGTTTTGGGGTTTGGGGGTTTTGGGGTTTTAGGGTTTTAGGGTTTAGGGTTTGGGGGTTGAGGGTTTAAGGGCTCAGGGTAGGGGATAAGGCATGTAGCTTAGTGCTCGGACACCGTGTGCAGCATTCAGCGCTTGGATATAAGGTCTTGAAAGCGAAACTTTGTAAATGAAATAATGCTTTGGAATATTGTTTAGAATTCCGTACTCTGGAATCAAGTAGAGTTCAGAGTCCCCTACACCCTAAAAGCTTGAACCCTAACACAATTAGAGTGGGGCCTTGGGTCTATTGTTTCAAGTTTAGTGTGCGAAGTGGACGGTCGAGGGTTGGCTGCAAGGGTCGACAGGGCACATCGAGTGCCTACAGTTGTATGAGCTAAAGTCAAGGCTTAGGGTTCAGGATTTAAGGTCCCAGATAATTAATGGACATGGGTTCCTTGTTAGGGAGATAGTAGGCACTATATTGAATAACTACAAGAGAGACCGTTATGTCCACTCTTGATGGTCCTTTGGTAATGCTAATATTGACGGTAGCTCATATAGGACCCAAAGTCATATGTTCTCCTACTACCTTTAAGGTTTGGGATTCAGGGTACGCCCGAGGTTTCCCCTTGACTCTAAATAGCGGTTGAGGGTTTAAGCTTTATCAAACCAAAGATTAGAACCTTGGGGATAGTACAGAGCGGTAGTAAGTAAGGTCATGCAAAAGCCGAACTGACTTGTCTGAACAGCCGTATGCCAAAGGTGACTTCTACAATTTCAAGTTTAACCGCTTGACCCCTGAACCCTGAGCCCTCAACCATCGCCCGGCTCAACCAAAACATCCGGCTGACGGTCGCCGAACCATTTCCCAATTCAATCGGCTACAGTCGCTGGTGGTGCCTATGTGCCATGAGGAGGATCCCTACACATCGCCCCCTTGGAGGTTATTACAACTGCACGTATAATCCAGTATTCATACGCCCTCTCAATCCGTTTCTATGCTCGTTATTAAACCATAAGTACTAACTAATTGTATTTGAGTTCGACTCAGGTTAAACCCTAAACCTTAAACCTCCAAGGTAAGAACACAGGATACAATAAAAGAGACCACACAGGGCTTGAATGTTTGGAATACCGCTTCTCAACATCAGGATGCTTAGGGAGCCCGGTGATACGTAGGAATTGCAGATGCAAAGGCGGATCCTGGCTATCACCTGTAGAAAACATGCCGTGAGTTCATGAAGAAGCCCCCTATAGAATATGGTTAACCTAGTCTTTCTGAAGTCTGCACAGTCTGTACACAGAATGCGCGAAACTCTAAGCCCGCAAACCCAAAACAAAACACGCTAAACACGAAGCTCTGAAGCCCTAAACTGCAAAAAGACAAAGGTGCCTTCCATGCAGAAGTAACCGGGCTGGCAGTTAGCCTCATGCAGACAGGGGCTCATAGCTTATGATTTCTAATCCTGAGCCCTAAGCCCTCTATCCTAAACCCTGAACCCTAGGGGGTGACAGGGCTTGGGGTGTGTGCTCGGGGTGAGAGGCCTCCTCGCAAGGGATGGGGTTTTAGGGTTCAGGGTAGGGTTTTTGGGTGTGAGTCTTGAGCTGTAACGCAAGGTAAAAGCCCGTGTATGAAGAGCGTGGGCACCCTAAACCCTAAACCCTCAAACCCTAAAACCCTAAACCCTAAAACCCTAAACCCTAAACCCCAAACCTTAACCGTGTGCCGGTGTCATTCCTTTGCTACAAGCTCTACCTCGACGGGCAAATTCATACTGATGTTAAATGCCCTCCCAGCCCTGATGGCAAATATGCCCCTAATGGAACTGATATGCGGGGGAACATATATGATACTAGTGGACGGGGGTGGTTAAGATTAGTATCATAAGAGGGTCATAATAGAACTGATATATGGGGGAACAGGTATGATACTAGTGGACGGGGATGGGTAGAGTAGTATCATGAGAGGATTAGCCTTACTTTCAATACCAACAGACCACCCAGGTATTGGGAAACTCCACGCACTTCAGGACACGGCCTGAAGCGTGACTGCGCCGAAGCACCCTTTGCCAAGGGTTCCAAGCTGTAGAAACCCTAAACCCTAATAAGCTGTAGAAAGTCACACTGTCGAATCCTCGTGACTGGGCTCAGCCCTTCTATATACCCGATGCCCTGGAACCACAATAGATTGGGGTTCCTAAATGGCGAAAGATTTCATCCATCCACCTTACTTGGAGGGTCAGGGTGGCTTCGTATGTCCATTGGTAATCCCTACAATCCATGTGGGAATCCTAGATTTCCCCATTATTAACCTACTTACCACCTCTCGCTAAGCCCTATAGACCCTAAACGCTGTGCCTTAAAGACGAAGCAGGCAAGCATGCAGCCGCAGGGAATAGCCATGAGCCACTGCGACCACCAGTCTACCATCTTGTCCTGAGTTTAGGGTTTAGCGTTTAGGGTTTAGCGTTTAGGGTCTATAGCGTTTGATGTTTAGGGTTTAGGGTCGAAGTTTTGGGGTTTTGGCGTTTGGGATCTTGCTTTGCAGGTCATGTGGGAACCTACGAACCATGATACGCAAATTAACGGGGGCCCCTATCTGTCTCCTGGGTCCTAACTCTGGGCCCTTTCTGGGACTTCTACGGGCTTGCAGCATTTAACATCGGTATACCCTAAACCCTAAACCCTAAACCCTAAACCCTAAACCGAAAAGGACCCTAGGATTAAGGATCCAGGGCACATAATTGAAGCCTTCGAGTTGGTCGTTGCCAAGAATTAGGTTTAGGGTTTAGGGTTTAGGGATTTAGAGTTGAGGGTTGAGGGTTGAGGGTTTTGGGTTTAGGGTTGAGGGTTGAGGGTTTAGGGTTGAGGGTTGAGGGTTTAGGGTTGAGGGTTGAGGATTGAGGGTTTAGGGTTGAGGATTGAGGGTTTAGGGGGCTCCTCGCGTATAAGAGTTACAGTACCTTCGGATGTATGTTGGGGTGCCCGGACTTATGGGAACTGACACCCTGAAGACGCTAACCCCTCCGTACCAATATTCAACACCCCCCCACCCCCACCCCCTAGTACCAAATGCGTCCCCCAATGTACAGTAGTACACCGTCTCCCATGCGGAACAGTTAATATTGGGGGCTTTAACCCTAAACCCTAAACCCCCAAACCCTTAGCCCTAAGAATACTAGTCTCCAGGGATTAACAACCCTGAACCTAAACTTTGGTAAAGGCTCCATGTACCCTAAAACCTGAGCCCCAAACTTCGGTGAAGTGATTTAGGGATTAAGGCTTTAGGGTTTAGGGTTTAGGGGTTTAGGGCTTAGGGAACCCTAAACTTCGGTGAAGGTTCCGTGTAGTTGCAGCACTGGATGGATCGGAGCACACGGTAGTGGTCGAAGGCGTAGATGTAAACATGCGACAGAGCCATGCCCAGGAACATCCTCAGCCATTTGGGAGCTTATTGGGGTTTGGGGTTTAGGGTTTAAGGTTTAGGGCTTAGGGTTTCGGGCTTAGGGTTTAGGGTTTGGCTTAAATCGAGCGATCCTACATGGGGGGTTTGTTCTGAAGGTCGTTGTAAAGGAGGGACTACTTGGGAATGCACCTGCATAAAGGGAGATCCTAGCCAAGAAGGCCTTTTCGGGAACAGGCATTTTGAGCACTGCCATATAATGAACTTCCAAGAGGGGGCCTCCTATAGCCCTAACTAAATACCCCGAGTTGGGCTTTTACCAAAAGACTGGACAGGGCTGCAAAAACTGCGGTCCCTTCCTGGGGGTACCCTGAAGACTCAAGGCTGTATCATGGTGGGGATCCAAAATGCAAGGGATCCCAGGCTTCGTACATGGTAGTTTCCCTAAATTACTGTTCCCAAAATGGAGAAATTTATATAGGGCCCCGTATTATAATGGGAACCCAAATATAGGACCCCGTATTATAGGGAATTTAGACCAATACCCACATATTATTAAGGTTTAGGGTTTGGGATTCAGGGTATGAGGGGATTCAGGGTTGAGGGTGCCTCTATCCCGCCATTGTATGGGTAGACCCCAAAAATAGGATGGTCCTCATTACGGGAACTCCCAATACGGGGCCTTGATTCTTTGGAAACCCCATAGTCTAAGGTCCTAGGTACCACCACCGATATCCCCAAGGAAGCCTATACACACACAAGAAGGCTTTTGGTATCCCCAACCCCTACACTGGGAGCCCAAAAGACTCATTTGCTCTTTTAGCACCCTATGATACCAATGATGAAGTACAGGTAATACTTCCCACAGATTAGAACGACATGGGTTTCCATGTGCGAACTATAACCCTACTACCAAGGGCATCCTATGTCCACCCTAAGTGATCCATTGGTAAGCCTCATATTGCCTCTAGCTCATATGCTCTTTTAACATCCTATCATACAAATATCAGCCCTCCAAAGCCCTGAACCCCAAGCCCCAAATCCTCAACCCTAAGCCCCAAGCCCTAAACCCCAAATACCCATATGAGCCCTACGACTTCCTTGCCGCGCGGCTGGATGTTAAACCCTCCAGGGAAGAAGAAGATCAGCACCGCGATCATGGCATCCAGCATCAAATCCTCGGGCTTCAGAGTTAAGAGCTCAGGGTTTAAGGTCTAGGGATTACAGTTCTACGACAGCCAAACGCATCCAACGCTAGTTGAGAACATGGAAAACTTAAAAAGGGTGGCGCGTAGGCTGTTCCACAGGGATTACAGCTCGGGTCGAGGGTTTACTGTCTAGGGACTACAAGAAGGGTCTAGGATTTATGGTTCTTAGATTCCAGTTACGGTTTCGGGCTTAGAGTCCAGGGTTTGGGGTTAAAGTGGGACGGAACAGGGCTCGCGCAGGATCAGTGTGGGCGGTCCTCCCAGACGCTCAATGGGGTTTCCAAAAGGTCACCTTCTTTCCTGCCTGACCCTTAGTATTTCATCCTTGGGAAGTCGGGTACTGTAGTACCATGAGGTCCTACACCATTCTGAAATGTCCACAGTACCACCCAGACCCAAGGATCTGGAAAGTAGCTCCCCCTTGGGGTTCCTAGAAATTAGATATAATAGCCAATAGCAGTATAGAGTAACATAGCGGGGGAGAGCTCAACATTCTGGATCCTCCCAACTTTGGGGCTTTTGTTTTCCGGGTTTAGGGTTCAAGGCTTAGGTTTGTAGGGTTTACGGTTCAGGGGTCTACCCCTGGATAAAGGAATGCTATAAGGCATATATAGAGAACCTCAAAACCATAACTCTCAACAACGAATAGTATAGAGACCCATGAAGTTTCGAGCCTTGCTTGGAGGTTGAGGGTTATCCAGTTGCAACTGTAGCTATTAATAACCATCCTGTTTCTAGATTAGGGGACATAGGGTGCGTAGGTAATATTTACCTTGAACCTCTGAGTAGGCCTGTAGAGTTTAGTCTTTTTCTCCGCTCTCTCCGCGGGTTTATTGCTGGAAAGAGACACGTGCCTGGCAGCATCTTCTCGCCAGTACGAGAAATGCTTCTTGCGGGGCCGGCATACAAGTTCATGCAGATTTCCATCCGGGTCAAATATGAGCTATAGTCTAAACTCCTAGTATCCCCTTTAATAGCCCCTATAGTTATAACCCCCATTAAGGAGTTTAGACCATAGCTCATATGGCAAGCGTACGTAGCTTACAACACAGACAGCTTGGCCGCCAGGCTGCGGGAAACACCCGTCAAAACTCCCAAACCGTCAAAGCGACTCAACAGTTGATGTTGCGAAACACCACTTTACATTGGATACTGCCCCCACTCAGTAAAAGTTGGGTAATAATATAATATAGTTATATATCGCCCGTAATAGGACCCCTAAAATAGACTGTTACTGGGTGGGGGCAGTACCCAAACTTTACAACAACTCAGCCCTAAAGGCCCCAAACCCAAACCAACATCAAATTTTGCGAAATATCCTTCAAGCAACAAAGCCTTCAACCTAGGCTACTATCAGCTTTGGAAAAACACCCTAAACCCTAATCCCTAAACCCTAAACTTACCTTCAGTCCGCAACCCCGACCCTAAATCTCAAATGTTTCGGGTTTAAGTCCTTAACCCTAAGCCCTCAACCCAAAACAGAAGCCCAAGCCTTCGAAAACAGGAGAGCAACAGGCAGCCAGAGCCGAGCCTTAAAACCTTCACCCCTAAACCCGTAAACCCTAAACCTGTAAACCCTAAACCCCTAAACCCTAAACCCCCAAAACCCCTCACCCCTAAATCCCTCACCCCTAAACCCTAAACCCTGAAATCGAAAAATCCTGAACCCTAAACCCAAAATCCCCCAACTCCCAAAACCCTAAAGCCTAAACCCTAGATCGGACGGGGTTCCGCATAGCGCGAGAGGTCAAACACAAGACCACCCAGCAAGTTTTCGGCCATGAAACCCTGGAATGGTAGGCAATAATGGAAAAGAAACTGGAAACTACTGTATTATTTAGGGTTTAGGGGGTTTAGGGTTTAGGATTTAGGGGGTTTAGGGTTGGGTTCCAGGTAGGTAATAATGGAAAAGAAAATGGAAACCCTAGGTCGCTTTAAAGGGATATATAGGGTTATAGGGGTTATACAGGGATGTTCTGGGATAATGGAAAAGACAACGGAAACTACTGTATTATTTAGGGTTTAGGGGGTTTAGGGTTTAGCCTGGAATCCAGGTAGGTATGATACGGCTTAAGGTTTTCAGGGGTTAGGGTTTCGGGTTTAGGGGTTTTGGGGGGCTGAGGGTCGGAGATTTAGAGTTTTTAGGGTTTAGGGGTTTGTGTTGTTTAGAGGTTACGGTTTAGGATGCATGGGTTTAGGGTTTGGGGTGTTGGGGTTTAGGATCTATGGCATCTGGGTAAGTGCCGATACACTCACGAATATCATGGTCCCAGGTTTCTTGTATCATTATGGTACTTCTAATAATTAGTAAGAAGCAGATCGCTAAACCCTAAACAGAAAGAGGTTAGCTGGTTGCAGCTTGGGTCTCCCTAGCTAGCCTGGAATTCATGTTAGGGGCTGATGGTTTAGGAGCTTGTGTTGAGGTCTGGCAGTTTGAAGCTACGGGTGTTAGGGTTGGATCTTTGCGTCTAAGGTTTGAAGCTTTAAAGTGTAAGGTTGGGGCCTTAACTTAACTGTAAGACCTAAATCCTAAATCCTGAACCCTTAGACCCTAAAATGTGCTGGGGATGCCTAGATTTTGCGTTTAGGGTTTAAGGGTTTGGGCTTCGTGGTTGGAGGTGGGTTTTCGGTTTAGGCGTTTTGTTTACCGTTCAGCCTTGCAAGTTGAGACAGTGGGATGACTCTGACTCGATTTGCTAATGCGGTTTAGGGTTTAGGGTTTAGGGTTCCGGGTATGTGACATGAAATTGAACCTTGCGGTGGAAAAAAGTGGGGCTTCGGTGTTGCAGGGTGTCGATGGCCAGGTTCAATGTCTTACTCTTGAAGCCTGAATAATTGCGAAGTCTTTCCCCGTTCAACCCTCATGGCCTTTGAATCTAATGCACCCCCGAGCCACCATGCTACCTGTGAGAGGGCAAGAAATTAGAAGCCAGTAAACGCCAAAGCCTAAGCCCGAAACCCTAAACACTTAAACCCAAATCCGAAACCCTAAAACCCTAAACCCGTATAGTCATGGTTGCACATAATTGTTTCGCGCATTCGGTAATGTAAACCTATGATTAACAAAGCCCCTTTTTACGGGATATATAAAGGTTATATAGGGATATATAGGGATAATGAGAAAAAAAGATGGAGACTACTTTCTAGGGTTTAGGGTTTTAGGGACGGATGATTACTAAACCATCTCCCTTTTAAGGGCCTTAATATTAGGATCCCTATCATAATGGCTATTAGGGGGAGGGGGTTGATTGATAGGGGGTCTGGGTTAGGCCTTGAATCATGCGGGCGCCCAGCTTCAGCGTCGCAGGAAGGTTTCAAGGGCCCATATACACCAGACTAGCCACTCATCTTAATCATGGGTCCCTAAACCCGAAACCCTACATAGTAGTTTCCATTTGCTTTTCCATTATCCCTATATATCCCGATATAAATCCTATACAGCCCCAACCCCAAAACAAGCTTCTGAGGAATCTCCTGCACCTCTCCAAGGCTCCAACCCTACCAGTTCCCGCCTTTAAGGTTATCTAAGCCTGATTATCCCTACGTAACTTTCATCAGGGGGGAACCTGGGGGCAGGGGGTAGTAGGGGAACCCGTGATTGAAGCCTGCCTTGATGTGCGGCTGCGTGCGGACGATCATGACCATGATCCTCGGGAACATTTGAATTATGTAGGGTTTAAGGTTTAGGGTTTGCGGTTCAGGGTTCAGGGCCTAAGCTCCTTAAAGGGGGGTATATAGCGGATTATATAGAAGGAGTATTATAGTGGTTATTAAGGGGATACTAGGAGTTCAGATTATATAGCTCATTGATCCTAAGCCAGAAGCCCTAAACCCTTACACCGCTAATCTGTAGCCCCCTTAGAGCTATAATAAAGCTACTATTGCTAAAAATGTTTTAAGTTCTACTAGAATGCAATTGAAAAATACTTCCTATAGTAATTCATCCTTATTTCAATTCCTAGTAGGGCGCCATTGAGGGACTGTTCTCTATATCGGAGGTTTACGGTGTAGGGTTTGGGATTTACGTGGTCGTCAAAAGCCATGCTATTTTTGAGGCACCCGGAATTGAAATTGAAAGGTCCGTGTAGCATTACATAAATAAGGCATCGCCATATTTAAGAACTTAATGTCTAGGATACCCCAGACGGGACGTCTTGACAATCCAACCCCTACATAAACACAGTTTCCGTTTCATTTTGCATGTTCTTCTCCATTTCATTTTCCATTAGTTGGGCAATCAAGGCCCTCAATCCAAAACCGCCTAAACCGTGTAAATCACCACCCGGTGGTCGGGAATCGCAATTGGGTCTGAAGGTTAGGGTTCCAGGGTCAAGGGCTGAAACATATGTGGATGGTGTTCCGCTTATGGCTTAGGGAAACAAAAGTTGACGGTTTAGGGTTCGGGGCTTAGGGAAACAAAGGTGGATGTTTTAGGGGTTGATTGAAGGGATGTTCTATTCCTAGATGCTGAACTATGGGTATGTGGACTTGTGAACAGCTAGAAGTTCCCTGGTGCATCCTCTGCACATAAGGCATAACTTGGGTTTTAAGAGGCGAACGGAAGACCTGGTTGACAACGCCTGAAAACTGCATGGCCCCCGGCATAAATGTCTACTCCCCCAAGGTTTAGGGTTTCGGGTACCCTGAACTGAGTGAGGGTTCGCTGACGTCAAGCGACAGACCCCGAACGCTGGCCGAGGGCTCACAGCCCGAGGGTTGGGAGGGCATCCGGAAGGGAGGGCCGGGAGAGTTTGGGGGCGCTGTTCTCCTCCCCTGTAAGGCCTCGCAGTTCCGGGATTGGCCGGCGAAGAATGGCAGGACGCCCAGGCTTGGGAGGGGCCCAGCATAAGCCAAAACACAGCAAAAACAATGTATGCAATGGTTGAGGCTTTGGGGTTATACTATACATAGCTACGCTACAGGGGAGGTCCAGTCTGGCCGGCCCCCATAGGGAATTCCCGGAGGCCCGGAGGGGTGAGGCACGGCCTTCAGGCAGCCTGCGCGGGTCAAGGAGGTGACACGCTCTTTTTTGTTGTGCGCTCACAACCCCCCAAGGCCTCCAGGCCCTCTCAGGGTCTTAGGCTTGCGACACAAAGCTTGACTCCACCAGACCTCACCTGCACTTTTGTCGGCGGCTGGGCGCAGAGGCTGCCGTACGCATTGGCACTGCTAGTCCCACTCCTAGCACACATTGCCGACGTCAAATTGCCATTCTGAGTCTGCCAATTGAGGCTCATGCTTCGGATCGTGCTCGAAATTATTTCGAGACTCTCGGAGAGCGCGCTGAAAAGCCGATTCCTGCACGCAGAAACACACAGGCACCAGGCAACACGAAACGCAGGGTTGCTTCGACCTCATCTTCGTCATCCATGATCAGGCCCCAGAGCTCCTGGGCAAGTATGTGTGGCTACGGTCTACACCTTCTGCCCTGTTCCCCGCCTCATCATCGCTCGCAGCTTCGGAGTCACCCTGCTCAGCAGGGTCTTTACAGCGCGCCTCTTCCAAGTAGGCCATGGCGACATCAACCTCCTGGATTCAGCGGGCAAGGCCTCTTGGTAGATCTTGGACGCGGCACCTCGCCTCCTCCGTCACCTCCCGACATGTGGCGGCTTCCATTTTTTGGAAGTTCTTTTCTGAGCGGCAGGTGTCAAATCAGACCTGCCTGGCCTCCGCTTTCTTGCAGGCTTTCTCCTTTGCTGCATTTTTTCTTGCGCCACTTGCGCTTTCGCAGCTTATCTTTGTCTCGCATAAGCCGAAGCTTCTCCTGAGCCTGCAGACAGAAGTGCCTTCGCAGCCGTCACAAGAAAGAGACCTTGCCTCCGTGTCTGCTTCTGGAGCAGCTTTCAACTGCGCACGCTTCCTCTTGTTTGCTGCCTTTCCGTCAGCCTTGTGCTTTTGTCTTGCCTGCATGCGCAGTGTTCACATCTCCCTTTGGTCTAGGGCCTAGGGCCACTTCTCAGGCCTCCAAGTCTTTGCGTGCCTTTTCTGCTTCAGCGAGGCGTTGTGCTTTGGCCACCTTGGCCTGTTGGGCCTTGGCCTTGGCCAAGGCCTTTGCTGCCACTTTACGCTTCTTTGTTGCCTCGTCCGTAGTGGCAGCGTTGTGCACCCTGGCCTCTCCAGCCAATGTCAGGTCATGTTTGCAGCATGTTTTCTGAACTATGAGCCGCCTCCTCCAGTTTTAGCTTCAGCCAATTGGCCATCATGTCAAGGAAAGGCACCAAGGCCTCCCCTGGCACATTAAGGCTGAGCTTCTCAGACGTCCACACCACCGCTTGCATGCACCTGACTGTACAGCTGAGGGCCGTGCGATAGATGTTCGCACGTCACCCTGTTTCACATCAGCAAGCTCCTTTTGCGCGCACGTGAGGCTCAGCATGGCCCAGTGACCTGCCCAAGTAACTTTGCTGCAGCACCTGCAGATGGGACTGCCTGAAACGGCCACGGTGCAGCGTGTCCAGCGCTTCTCGCCATGTGAGTTCTGAAGCTTCTAAGCAGGCTCGTGCCCAGTCTTGTGCAGTGTGTCCGGCCTCGAAAGGGCTGCTGTGGTGTAGAGGGCGTCTCAGGCACTGGCCGCAAGCGACTGCCAAAGTTGCCATTCTGAGAGTAGACACTTCCACTGCGGCGTCCTGTGGTTCCAGGTGCAGGAGGGTGTCCATTGCGTCCTGTGAAGCCAGGCTTCCACGCTCATATCCACACAGTGGGGCAGCATCCGGCCTCCACAAGCTCGCCATATGGCTTGTCTCTCCTTCGCCGCCCTGCATTTCTTGCGCACGTTCTTCTTCTTCCTGTCGAGAAAAACAGGAAGGCTGCAGGCTGAGAGGCTTTCGGCCTCGAAAGTTGGTCGCGGCCCTTCTCCCGATGTGTCACCTCTCAATTTCAACGGCACAGATGCTGCGCACAGTTGCCACCAGCCTTCGTTAGTCATGACACCTCATATCTCGAAGGCAGCTCAATGTTCAGAGCTGCCGCGCTTGCCCAAGGCCGGAACATGACATCCAGAACTCCGCGCACGCTGTGTCATTTGGTGGCAATAGTGTGGCCTCGGCAACGCGTGGTCCCACCAACAAAGGGCCTCGCCAGCGAAACCTTGCAGCCATCAGGCGCGATCTCAAGGCAGACCTGCGCAGCTCCGCGCAGCCCCACGGCGAAGCACGCACAGACCCTCGAATGAGCTCACAGGTAGAAGACAACAATTCTTGAGCGAATGCGACAAATGTCAATAGGCCATCTCCCGGTTGCCAGGATTGGTGCCTTATTCAGAGATGGAACCATGATCGTGGTCGAACACCAACCACAGTGGTCAACCACATCCAGCCTCCATAAATAGTCCATCAAGCTGTCTCAAACGAAGTTTGTGCCAAATCCGTACACTGCTCC